TTTGGGTAATCTGTCGGTTTCTTAAGTTTATAATAGCCATTTTATTTTTTACAATTAGCAACAGATGGCGGCACGAGTCATAAACGAGGAAATTTAAATTTCGAATTTTTTTTCTCCTCCTCTTAATATATAAAGTATATATATATGTATTTTTTTTAGACCTTAATTATAATTTATTTAATGATATTTATTTTTCCTTAAGTATAATCACCGTCTAGAATTATTAAGGAATCAATCAATATCTTTATCTTGTTCGGCATAATTTGTAAAGTTCTGTAGGTAATTATCAATGATATTCTTAATTTTATTCAAGACATAATTATGCTTTTGATGATCTTAAATGTATTATCAAATGAGCTGGTAATTACACTTTTATTAATTTTATTCATCGTCTTATCGAGTGATCGCTAACGAACAAAAACTTTTGATCAAAATGACCTCTTTTTCGATCGATGTAATTATAGATCGATCGTCAATTCTGATTATTTTTCGATTAGTTATAACAATATCGTTAATCGATCTAAAAAAAATCGATCAAAAGTAATTTAAAAAATCTAGTTATAAAAAGAACGGTTAATTTAATAAAAATCTCGATATATATTTAAAAAAAAAGAAATCCTTATTTTAAATGAAGTTTTTAAAAGGAATTTTGTGCAGACACACAGATTTTCTTGACGATGAAAGAAAGTAATACAACTTAAACCAAAATAAACAAATGTTGAGAAAGAAAAAATAATCACAAGCTACTTGAATTTATTAAACAATCCCAATGCTAATTTCCGTTTAAATGGCGAAAATAATATATTGTATATTTATTTCTTAAAAAAAANTTAATAATTTATGCTTGTAGTTTTACTTTACTTTATAAAATAAACAATTAAACTTGCCTAGAAAATATTATTTTACAACTGATATAATATCGCCATATATGAAAATGATAAATATAATAAATAATGCAAAGAAAAGTATTAGAAATATTTAACGTTCAGAATTTATTACTTAGAGATTTGAGAATTTTTTCGTAAAGGAAGAGGGAAAAAAAAAATTTTAAACTTCCATTACGTCAAAGAAAAATATTATTCGTCACAAAGGAATAATGTATTATAATGACGTCGAAGAAGAATATTTAAAAAGTAGACGAATATTTATTGTAACTATGTCACATGGGATCTTTTAAGCTAATTTATTTAAAACGCGGTTAAACCAATATGTTTATTAGAAATGACGTCTTAAGAAATGGCAACTAAACTGACGTAATGAAATATAATTCGCAAAAATTCTCTATTTCAAGCGGCTACAATCGCTTTTTTTTTTTTTTTTAAAAGTCAAATTTATTTTATGTCATATTTAAAAACATTTTGCGGAATATTCCATTTACAAAGAATCACATCTGGTTTAAATCGATCTGCATTGTTACGTCACCGTTATTTAGTCACACCTATTTTTAGATCGATTTCTATTGGATTTCAGCGCGTGACGTCACACTACGTTTACACCCACTTTACAGATCGATTCTTTATTGGTCGAATCTCGTTTCAAACATGGCTTCCAGAATAAACTTTCAACTTTTTTGAATGTATATTTTTTTCTTTTTTTTAATGTCTCTAGTGAAATTTTAAAACTGAGTAAATGCATATTTTCTTTTTTAAAATTCAAAATAAAATATTTAATAAATGTAATTTTAAGAAAAATGCTATTTTTTCGTGTGTTTGTAGAGGAATGACAAGTGAGTGACATAAAATCTTTCCATTATATAATTATTTAAATCACAGACGTCGTACTTTCCATTCATATTTCATATGATGACTCTAAGTACAACAATATATTTGCAACAACACGAAATTATGTATACAGCGTAACGTGACGATTGTCACGCTTGGCGGTCGTGACGTCTAACAACGTGATATTTAATCGTGTTTGTGATGTATAGAATACAATCCTTTAATTAATTATAATTATATCTTTAGTTAGTAACCTACTTAAGATAAACAAAAATAAAGAATAAAAAATGATAAGGGAGAGAAAAAAACAAAGTAAACTTGGATGAAAAGTTTGCTTAGTATTAACAGAAAAGTATTTTGAGAAGTTAGCAAATTGAATTTATTTTTATTATTAAAAATTTGTCAACGACATCACTTAATGATAATAGATGATCGCGGAGTGAAAAATCAACAAGTTTTCTTTTCCCTTTAATCTTTTTAAAGAAAATCAAATCGAATCTTTCTTTTGTCGAGTGTTGGACTTTCTCGATGACAGAGGATTGAAAGGTCATCAAGGTCTGTAGACACAACCCTGTGTCAACAAAACCTGCTTCGAGACTAATTGGGTGTCGAGTCGAGAGTCGCCGAGAAAGAGGTTTCCTAAAGAATACTCTCTAACTAGGTTTAAGGTGGGGAACATTCCAACTGGGAGAAAGAAAAGTCTTGTAACTATATAAATAAATACTCTTATTCATTCGCACGGCTTGGCTTCAGTAATGACTTTGTGACCTCACATATCATGCACCTGATGCGTGACTTTGCGTAAATTCCGCCGGAAATATATCTTTGGAGCAGGGGTTAAAGGTCATTTCCAGCACCTGCTTCGGCAGGTGGACAGATGGATCAAGTGTATAGGTAGATATTTACAGGTGTCTACATAATACAAGTCTAAATGAAAATCTTCAATCCGTGCATAAAATGTTGTTTTGTATAGAAAAAAGTACACTTACTTTTGCTGATAAAACATTTTTGTAAATATGAATTTATAAAATACATTATATGCACGTTTCGTGATTATATTTAAAACAATAATGTCACTAACAGAATTTATAAAAATTATTCTCGTGCTCTAGTTATGGGTTAACCATAGATACTTTAAAAATTCAATTAAAATTATTTAATTGAATTTTAAAACAACTTTATTCAATTCCATTTTTCAGTGAAACGAATAAAGTAACGGAAACCAAATCCGATGTTTCTGTAACATGATCGATTATCGGAAAGCATAAGAATGTACTTTGAAAAGAGAACTGTCTGTACCATCTGAATGGGGGAACGGGGGAGAATTTCTTAGACTCCGTTTCCAGGGTAACTCCAATAACTACCTATACTCCATTGTTGAGTAGAAAGTCGAGATTCAAAATAAATTACTTTCGTCTTTTAGATGTCTGCTTTTGAAATTACTTTCCTTCAAACATTCTACTGTTTATGCAAATTAAACTATAAAGGTCATTTAGCCATTGCCTTCATCGAAAATATGCCTAATTCGCATGATCAGAAGAACACTAAATGTCTAATTTACTAAACTATCGAAAAATTACCGTACTGTGCTTTTTAAATCGAAGCCATTCCACCTATTAACCAATCAGAGTCAGATTCTATCGATTACGCAACAACTACATCGATTACGTACTAATGTTTACCGATTCCTATAGGCTACTTTCGTCGCCAATAGAATTTTAAAAATAAATTAGAACCAATAGAAATTCGATGTTCGATATATTTATTTTATCTCGTGATAATTCAAGAACTTTTTTTTAAAACTTGATTCAAATCAACTTTTCTTTTTTTATTTCTTTTTTAAATGAGTATTGAGTTTTAAAGAGTTCATTTTAAAATTGGGTTAATTCAATTTGATTTTTTTTTTTCATTTAACTTTTAAAAAGACATTTTTAGGTGAACTGTCATTTCTTGAATTAGTTCGGTGGGTTAAGCTTGAACGTACAATCGAAAGAAATGTGTTCAACGAAGCTGAAAGATACCGTTGTCTGGCTTAATCTCCTGCATTGGCTTTGGGATTTAGGAGTGTGTGCAATTTCTTAACTCCACGTTAGCTTACTTTGATGGATATTGTCGTGTAGTGATATCTGTCTCTCAATCTTTCTTTTTTTCTCTTTCAACAACAACCAAAAATAAAAAAAATAAAAAAAAATATATATATAGACATTTTGAGAGATGAATTTATTTTTAAGAACACCACATTCATTTTTAAAATGTAATTAAACAGTAGAAAAATCTAAAAATCTCTGACAGTAATTTGTTAACTTCTAAATAAATTTATCCAGAAAATAATTAATTTGAACAAATTTTTCAAATACATTTTTGAAAAATTTGGTCAAATAAATTATGAAAATATTTTGTATGTATTAAAACTTAAGCAAATGTTTAAAACATATAATTTTCGAGAAAAATAATATAAAATATTCAACATCGATTAATTTTTTAAANTGAAAAAAAAATACATTAAAGAAGACATAATTAAAATTTCAACATAGATTGTCGGAGAGGGAAAAGAAATAAAAGGAAACGTCATTTAAATTCAAATATATGACATTAAACTGGAGAACTCGTAAGTGAAATATGAAGAACGATTAAAGAAAATTATCATGAACTAAGTTTATAATGAGTAAAAACGGGATATATGTGTGTAAAAGGATGACTATCAGCGAACCAATTTCATAAACTAATAGCTAGATCACATTCTTTTGTTCCTTATCGAAATGATACATATCGTGCACAACCTACCTTGCATAATGATGTTTCAACTATTAAAGCAAATACTTGGGACAATAACATCGTCCGCGAAAGATGAATAAAACTTTTTGATTAAAGCATGAACGTGACTAAAGATAATATGCTGAAGAGTTCGTATTACATTAAAGAGTATGTTTAAAACTTTCAAAAAATTATAATATTTATAATAGCGGTGTTACCATGCTTAAAATAAAAATTAAAAATATCTGAATTGATCCGTTTTATATTTAAAATTAAGATTGAACCAGTTATTAAACGTTTCTATATTTATGTTAATATTATAAAAGCGATTAAAAATAATTTGATCGTTTAAACTAGGAAAATTTATATTTATATATATAATAGAATTTGTAGTTAAATTATCTACATATCATATTCTATTTAATATAAAATATAAAAAGGATAAAGTGATTTTATGGTCAACTTTGAAATTTTTCAAGTGTAACACTCTAGATAGACATAGAAGACAGTGGGAGAGATACTCACCTAAGTATCAACCACTTCGGACAAAATCCAAACCACCAAAAAATTTGACCTCGAGTAGCGTAAAGGTCCAGTCAAAATCCGTTCCACAAAAATCACCGCTGACTGATTGGCTTGTAGTGATTCGGTTTTCAGTCTCATGGGGTCGCCACAACACACTCCAGTGACGTCACAGCTAGCTGCACTTTTACAACGGCGCATGTACTTTTACGTTAACCAATCAAATGACTCGTAGCATACATCAATCAGGTTTCGCTGTAAGGTGCCGGGTCTGTGTGCTTGTAGTCTGATCACAATGGTACGATAGGTCTAGCCGCATAGAGCGACAGATTGTTGCTTGACTTTAGTTTAGTAGTAGTATATTTGTGAGTTTTTGGATATGATGGAACAAGATAACCAAGCGAATACACCGGGAACGCCAAATGAAGTCAGTCACGATCCCGGGTAGGCTATGTCTTTGTTCGTGACGACCGCCGACTGCCGTCTACTCTATCTAACAAATCTGTTTTTATCTTACAGAAAAATGTTTATAGGAGGCCTTAGCTGGCAGACTACACCAGGTAAGTGTTAAAAACCTTTAGCATACGTTCTTTTATCCGCGAGGAAATTTTTCACGACCAATAATAAAGCTCTTCTTCTTTATAGAAGGCCTGAGGGAATATTTTGGTAAATTTGGGGATATAACTGAAGTAATGGTCATGAAAGATCCCACAACTAGAAGATCGAGGTTAGTATATAATCCTAAGTAATAACAAACGTGCTGCGTATAGTTGTTAATTAGGCCCACTATAATAGTTGTGACACTCGAGCTGTGATAAGAGTCTTGTTGACGGTAATTTGGATGTTCGCTATGTATCTTTATGTTTATCGGTTATGCCGTATGCGCGTATAATACAAGTTTAGTGTACTCGTAATGTAGCTCATTATAAAAGTATATTTTAGGAGGGTAGGAAACAATGTTTCTATCATATCATGCAGCGACCTTGGTGTTCCGGCACCTTTGCTATGTTTTTGTCAGGATTGATTGAATCGAATCTAAAGTTGGCAAAAATCCAAGAAGACGTCTTGTCAGCAAAACTACTCCCACAGTAAAGGTGATCAAAAGAATATTTATGTACAAAATCTAGTTCTTTTGTAAGTCTAAACAATTGCAGAATATGTATACAACAGTAAAAAGCGTGTGCTATCCTTTCGATCAGCACGCTTTTTCCTGACAAGAACAAAGGATCTATTTTACATTATGCATTTAATATTCGTAGAGATTTTCCCTTAACCATCGATGTGCGAATTTATGCAAGATTTAAAATCCTTTATTATTATCGCAGCGAATCAAGTAATATTTGATCTCTAAAATCGATAAATAGGTCAAACAACTTTTAAAATCTAGAAGTATGACTTTGTATTTTTACCACTCACAAAGAACCCAGGTAGAGTCGGTCTCTCCCTATTTACAGGTAAATGGACTTTTCTAGTGGCTGAAAATCCCCCGCCAGGTGATCCATCTGGACAGTAGACTTTCACACGGGTACCTGACCCCTACTTTTCCCTTGGGGTCTTAGGGGGTTCTGCTACGGCCCTGCCTTTCTTTTCTGTCAAGCTTCATTGTTATGCCTTTAGTTCTTAAATTGTAAAACGAAGATCATTCTAATTTTTCTCTCTTCTCGTTAGCGTAAATAATAATTGATTCGAAAGTTCTCTTTGATATTATGTAAAAGATAGATTTCTTTATCTTCTGCAAATGGGAAAACAGTCAGAGCAATGTATCTAGGATCTAAATGGATAAAACATTTGTTTTGCCATCTGCTACTGTCAGCGATTACTTAAAGAGTAGAAATTAATGTTCAGGAAGACAGAAATGGAATGAATAGATGATAATGGCGGTATAAATGTGACGAAATTTATTGCATACGCACTGACGTAAAATATACTTTGCAATCTCTGTTATTGGATTATTATAAAGATGTTTATTATATTTAGACTACAAAATTTGCTCAAAATATCACTTGCCTATTTTCTACGATAATGATTTTAATGGAAGAACTTTCAAGATTTGTTTCCAACGTTTTATTTGACTATTTCCAATCGATAATATCTCCAACTTGGAGTCAAAACCTTGAGAAACTTAGCATACATCTACCGCTTAGAACCTAGCTTAGACATCAATGCCAATTTCAGGTTTGAAAGTAACGCTCCTATTATTCTTTCCAAAACAATATGGCCGCTTTCTTAAAATGCTGCAATTATTATTACTTTCTGGCGAGTTTATCAGATATTGTTTGTCATTTTGCTTTTTATATCTACTGTATATGTTATCCGCTGGATTTGTTCCTTCGCTTTTTTGATTTTATTTCCTGAATTGAATTTCGAGTTGGACCACGGTTCTGGAAGGAAGGGTTATTGTGTTTCTCACAAAAGTTCACACAATCGTCATAATCTTGTTTATATCAACAAATATGAGAATGGAAATTTTTTCACAATTGCTTTATAGTCATTTTTGCTTTCAGTATATTAAATTAGAATTTTTCAATTGCGGCAAAAATAATTAAAATTATGTTATTTAAACAGCTTTTAATTAATTTTCAGAATTCATCCGAATAAAAAAATATATATTTATATAAGTTTATTTCATTTTAAATTTAAAACTAAAATAAATTATGTATTTTTAGTTTATAAAACAAAACTTTCAGATAAAAACTGTAAATTGAGCTTTTTTTGTAATTTCTGTTAAATTTACTATAATTAAAATTAAAAGAAAATATTGTTTATATTTAAGGACTGATGAAAGAATGGAAACTTCATTAAATATTTATTATTTAAAGCGACGGTAAATAGATTTTAAACATTTAAAAAAATAATATCATTCGACGATGCTTTTAAGGATTAAAATTTCGGTTGTTTGATATATCATTTTCAAATACGCCGTACATACAACGTTTTAAAATTGTTTATATCTTAACATTTGAACTTTATTTGTAAGACAAAATTCGAGAGGCCCCTAATTACCCCCCTCAGCGACTCCTTCTTAATCTGTAATTTGATAATTCCGTCTTTTTGACTTAACAAGTTTCTAGAATTAAGATTTTAGAACCTAATTATTGAATCTCTTTGTTTAGTTTCAATCATTTGAAATATCGCCAATGTACCTATAACAACACTTGTAGATAAAACAGTCCTCCACATACTTCTTATCTATAGCAGGACAATGTTCTTCAATATGTGCAACAAGGGACAGAGAGCATGCACAAAGTACACTCTTAAAATACATCTAATTATATTCTATGTAGTAGAAGTGAATGGATTGAATTATTTCGTGTTCGTTCGCGTTCAAAATTGCAGATGTATCCGATTATAAAATTCCTTTTGCCTATTAATTCGTACTAAATCTTCTAGAATAATTATAAGATGTAACTTATTATAGACTTTTATGTAAAAGCCTTATACAATTTTATAATTTTAGTGGTTTCATTTATAAAATTCGACAGTAAAAATATAATAGAAACTCGGTTTTAACTGGAATATTGTGTCGGGGAACCTACATTTATAAAAATCATAAATGATTAACTGTCAAAAAGAACCGAAAATACCTTAAGACGATTATGATATGGACAGATACCGACATGTTAGGTATAAAATATAGATATAAGTGGCTCTTCAGAAAAAATATTGGGGGATTTTTGCCCATGTCAGATTTATTATAAGCTATTTTAAAACTATTTTTAATATAAAAATACATTTTTCTTATATATATATAATAATACATGTGTGTGTGTGTGTGTATTATTAATAATGAAGGATTTTAAAAATAAATTTTTCGGAAATTATAATAAGGTTAGCACGACTATCTTAATAAATTTTAAAGTATATTTTATATAAAATAAAATATTTTTACACTTATAAAACTGAATTTCTTATAGAATTTATAATAGATCTTTCCGAATATCTGCATCTATCACTATTGCACGTAGCCCTACATTAAACAAATGGACATCAAAATAGGCATTAACGTTAGAGAAAAACTTCTTGTTTATAAGTTAAACCAAAATAACCTACTTAGAGTGAATTGATTGTAGTTATTCGGTTCCTAGCAGCTGCCGGAAACCGACTTGCCCCATCCTATGTTTCCTTAAGAGGCTGGTTTGACTACATTCAATGTTCAACCGGTCCTAAAAAATGATGAATATGGATCTAAGTTCTATATATTATTATTATTTTTTTAAACACGTTTTCAAGATCAAATTAAAATAATTAAAAATTAATTCTACCGATAACCACTTAAATTTCAAAAGCTGTACGCACTTAACTCGATTAAATCGTGTAAAAAAAAAGAAAAGAAGTGTTCTATAAGAGTAATAAGTTTAAGGTCAATTTATGATTCTATTTATGTTCAATCAAGTTAATGGAGTTGTTCACGATATTGGTCCTGTATTTATATGGGTAGATGTTCAATGAGTTTTATGTTTAAGTTATATATTGTTCGAGTTTTGTATATAAGAAACGTTTTAGTTATAGACTAACCTAGATTTAAATATCCAAGTATTCTCGATCTAGAGGAACATCTCGAATGCGACAACCTCTGAGGTTTATATTGATTTGGAGTAGACGATGTGTTCCTCCATCTGTGTGTTTTCAAATATTTTCGTGTTTTTTTGTGAAAGAAATTGAATATTATGTAAGATTTTTTAAAAGAAAATACAGTATTAATACTGTTCAATAATATTGTTTAATATTAATTATAAACTAAACATTAATTGTTTGTTTACTGGAATTTTAGCAAATTAATTAACATTGAACATGACTAACAAATTCGATTTCATGTATTTCATAATTTAATTAATTAAATTATTATGTATTGAACAATTTATTCGATAAAATATAACGGAGATTAGATGTTAATTTATCCCACAAAATTCTAGAATAAGGTTTAAGTAATGGAAAATTTCTAGTATAAGTCAATCAGTTTAAAAATTACTTTACTGATAATTTAATTGTTAAGAAATTAACGGTTTAAAGAGAGTTGAGATGGGATTGGAAATTTAATGGAATTAATTAAAAATAAGTGAATCATTTTAAAAATTCACATAGTCAAGAATTTTGTAGAATGTTTAAGAATCGAATACATTAACAAAAAAGAAAAAGAATACCTGGTTCGAGTAAAATAAAATATTCATTATCGCATTGTTGAAAAAATAATATATTTAAAAGCGTAAAATAACTTTAGCTTTAAACAGTTTTTTACAGATTAAAAGTATCTTTTATTTGTATTATTTAGTAGTTATCAAGTTAAATATAATATAAATTTATATAAAATCTTATAAGTTAAGTAGCAAAAAAACATAATAGAATTATAGAATATATATTAAATTTAACTTTAAGAGCAAGAAGTTAATTGTAATAGTAAAAATATTTATAGAATATAAAATAAGGATGATGCACGTATAATTCTTAAATAAATCTACAACAAATTAATGTGAAAATTTCCCTTTATTTTTATTGGAAAGATGTAACTTATATAATTTATTATGTTTATAATTACTAGAGTTTTTTTTAAAAGTTATTTACAAGAAAAAATGAATTAGGAAAAAGCATTTAGTTAGAGTAGTTGACGCAGCTTGCGAAAGAAGTGTATTTATCCAACTATGTGCAGTAAATCTTACTCTGACGATAGCTCTTTCATATTTTGTGGAATGAAGTAAACATATCCTTGTAACTGGAAGCTATAAGCAATAG